CCCGCCAAAAAAGATTATTGTAAATGTAGAAAGTGTTACGTAGAAAAGACACAACGTATTATGAACAAGCCTCGGTAAGGGCCAAGAAAATTAGAATTATAGAAATTTAGAGCCAGGAACCTAGAGAAAACTGAGCCACTCCCTTCCCCACTTCTTTGCAGGTGAGAAGAAGAACCACCCAGAGAAGGGGAGGGATTTGACTCATGACCAGCTGGTCACCCAAAAGCATATAGAGCCTTGTCTCCTGCTGGGGTAAAAAATCAATGTTTTTAGTCTGAACTGACCCTAGGCAAAAAAAAAGTTTTAAGAAATAAATAAATAAAAAGGGTAAGAAATCAAACACATTCCAAAATGACAAAACCACCCAAAATGCCTGTGCTTGTTTTAAAAATGCCTATAGTCTAAGTGATCATGATATATTTTAACACAGCATGTCTTTCTCAACTAAGTACATGACGGTGATCGATCATTGGCATGGTGTGTCCACATATATGACCTTCAAGTTGTCACCAGAACATGACAGATTCCCAAATGTGTAAACTGTCTAAATAGAGGCCTGCCTTTGAAGTTCCTGCCTTCTGGGGCAGCTCCACCAGAGCTGCACTACTCTGATTCCCATCCTGGGGCTTCACGTTAGTATCAGCATGATAGCTATGCTAATAGGTGACACCGATCCTGGCTCACTGCATTCTAGAGCTAGAGATTATCTGAGATCATCTCCACCCCTTCCCCCCCAAAAAAGGCCTGAAACAAATAATGAACAAAACAGAAACCCAGAAAATCATCTTTTAATATCAGTGTCATGCTTCATACCAAAAAGTTGCAGAGTTAAATCTGCCTCACCAGAGGCACTGTCAAACTAAGTACATTATCATTCAGCGTTGGTGAAACTTGATATTGAAGTGTATCAAGGCCAAAAGAAGGTTTGTTTTTTTTTTTTCTTTATTTTTTTTAAGAATAGAAACAGCTACCTATTGCTGCAAAACTCTGGCTACTTTCTTGCCATGGTTTGTGGGTTACTTTGTTTTGTGGTCTTTAAAGGGAGGTGGCAGGAACAGAGAAGATGCCAAAGACTGGGCAGCTCCAGGGCTGTTACTCCCAGATTTGAGGCAACCTGAGCTATTCTGAGTGGTCCCTTCCAGAACCTGTACTGCAGTCTGGTCAGTCCCATTGGCAACGTCAGTCAGTCAGCAGCCCAGACCATTAAAGCCAGTGGAGGCCTGGTAGGCTGTCTGAGCACACATGCTCTAGGTTTCGAAGGCCTCCTTGCTTTATCTTTCACACCAGAAGTTTATCTAGCAGTATCCAGGGCATGTGCAGAACTGTCATGGCCCCCTTCCGCCAAGGACAGAGCCCAGGGCCTTCCTGCCCAGCCTCTTGTGGTTCCTGCCTTTCCCTCAGCTCTGGGTGCCAGGGACTGCAGGCCAGGACTTATCATGGTAGCTGTCCAGACTTGATAACCAGATCCTACTACCCCTGACTCAGAAATGAAACAGGGTCCACAGAGTCCTATTCTATCCCTGGTCCCTAAAATGCTTTGTCTCTTGTTTGTGGTATGGCTTTCTTTCTCATTCCAGAATCCCACGTTTTCCCCTAGCAAAATCTCTTTATATATGGTATCCATCAAACTGCTATGCTAACTTCAGCAGTTCAAACTGGCTCCACTGTAGAAGAATAAGATTGCCATACATGTGGGACTGAACCATCTTTAATTATAAAATAATTCACACTGGATTCCCTAAGGCTGGCAATTACTGTCATCCTCCTACGGGTGGTGATACTGTTCCATATAGAGTAATACAAAATGAGTTCCTTGCCAGAGGTCAAATAGCAATAACTATTATTGCCACAACAATAATCAGATTTAATAGCTACCCTGTCCCTCCTTCCAGGTGGTGAGGATATGGTATTCAGTACAAGGTCAAACAGACTAGAATTCAAACCTTGCCTCTGCTACTTATTTAGCTGTGTAACCTTGGCCAAGTTACTAAACGTTCTCAGCCTGTGTTCTCATCTGGGAAAAAAGGCCATCTATCTCCAAGTATAGCAACAATGAAATAACCAACCTTTCATTGTGCCTGTTCTGGGCAAGGCACTGTCCTGTTATACTGCTTAACTCCTTGAATACTCAGAGAGACATTATTCTTTATATTATATATTCAATTATAAACTGAGATACACAGGTTAAGTCATTTGCCCAAGATTACATAGTATTAAGTAACACATCTATGCTACATGCTCAGGTAGTCTGACCCAGAGAGTCAGAACTTCAGGGTTCCTCCCCATCTTCTTAACTCAAAAAGCACGCACATACTGTATGCATATAGAAGTTTAGGTATGTTCTTTACTGTCTAAATTTGGGCAAGTTATATAACCGGCCTGGTATCAGACTCTATACCTGTAAGGTGGCGATATCAACAGTTCCTTTGGCATAGAACGATTTTCAGAAACAAATGAGTTGATCAAGGTAAAGAGCTGAGAACAGCAGTATGGTCTTCAGGCAGGAAGTACTTGCAACATCTGAAGTTAGAATTCTCAGGCTGCCGTGCTTGTGGAGATTCTGTGGCTGGCAGAATCCACTAGTTTCAAATAGCTATACTGTTCTCTAACAAACATACTGCATTTAAAAGTAGATTTTTAAGTTCTTATTCAATCAATGAGAAGAAAAACAAGTCCACAGGATTCTGGTTAGAAAGAAATTAGGCCAGACCTATATGAAATCAAGACTGGAAGCAAGAACGTATATATATTTATTTTAAAAATATTAAACAGCAGTTTTCCTGGAGGCTTTTTAGGTTGTGAATTGTATTCTACCCACTGGATAAATGCTATAGCTAATGGGCAAAGAGCCTGTGAAAATTTTATGGCTTGGTAAAAACCTTTGGGTGATACAGGTTAAAGTGACTTTATCCTCAATGCTACTGAATAGCAGGAGTTTTATAAGTGGAAGCGGGCAGCTTTTGTGAACACATTGTACGTAAAACAAAACACCACATTAAAGGAAAAGCTGGAGAGCAGACAGTGCAAACTAGCTCAGGGGAGCCCTTCTGCAATCATTGTTATGGCTTGTATTTATGCATCTTGCACCACTTCTAAATTTGCAATAAGAAGCACACACACAAAAAAGTGCAACCCTTATTCCTCAACTGCCTTTCCATGTCCTATTGAGATAGGAAACAGAATTTCAGGGCTCAGACTAAGAGGGGGAGCTCATCTTACTTCACGTCTGCAAGGGCTGCCACAGCCTCAGCACCATGTTCCAACCATGGAATTCATAATGTAAATTTCTAGCAGATGACACCACTGGAAAACAGAAACTGCCATGAACCTAGAAAGGCTTCCAAAGTTCTCCTCTGAAGTTCTTATCTGTGAGCCTGGAGGGACCATAGTCACTTTCTGCCACAGGCGAGGCCTATTGAGAAACTTTCGTTCTTTGGAAGAAGACTTGATGAAGGACTTTCAACCATTCTTTGAATACAGAAATGATCTTTATCATTTATTTCATATGAGACAATGCTAAACATTTCACAACTGCCCCACCTATTTGAGTTCTTTACTCCAACAAGAGTTTGTGTCACACACATACCTATGCAGTTTATTCTCAACTGCCCAAATTACAGGTCACGTCAAAGAGAAGACTTCTGGAACTGTCCAGAAAAGAAGCTGCATTTCCTACTTGTTAAATGAAAGATCTTTTGTAAATTAGAACATCACATGAATCTTTTAAACTGACTTAGGGATATCCCTGGGGCATCCTTGCTGCTTCCTGGAGAGCCTTTTTTCTCTGTGTGATGTTCAGGGGAAATCCCTCAGCTAGCTTTGTTATTGAAGTGGGGACATCTGCTTCCCTCCTAATTTTTGTTCTTTTTTTTTTTTTTTTAAAGGCAGCATTCCCCCACCCTCACCCTAAGAAACTCTAGGATACTGTGAGGGCTAGAAGCTGGGGACAGGGAAGGTATCTGGGTCTCCCTAAGGTATCAATCAATTCCTTACCCAGAACCCCCTACACATCAGCAGCCCACTCTAAATATACTAGGGATGGAAAGATTGACGTTGCAAACCCAGCCATTCCTTTTCCCGCCCTCATTTTAATTCACTCACTCTTTTTTTTTTTTTTAAGACAAAATGTAATTACTTGACTGTCAGCCTGGGCTGCACTCTGGGGCTTTCACTCCTTTCAACACAGCTGTGCTCCCAGCTTTGATGCTGCTGTCTACGCAGCTTGTCCCAGCCACAGCCCGGCTCGGTAATGCATCCAAGTGCATATTTATTTTTAAACTGACCTCTCCTAGACGGTACAGTAAAAAGGAGGTCCTGCCAAAAAATATGCTACTTTCTATTTATAAGATGAAACACATGCCTCCCAAAGGCAAGAGGGGGGTAGAGTATAATAATTCATAAAGAAAATATGACTAGCCAGATCCATTCGTCCTCACATGTCTGATATTTGTCTGTGTCAACACACTAAGTTTCAAGGAGAATGAGCGGAAAAAAAATCCTGTAAACGCTTCAGCTGTTGAGAAATCACCAAAAAAAAAAAAAAAAAAAAAAAAAAATCAGCTGCCAGATCTGCAGGTTGGAGCCTCAGCTACACTGCCGTCTGTCCGTCAAGAGAAAAGAAAGCACCCGGCGGGCAGCGCCAGAGCAGATCTGCACTGTACACCCATGTGCCGCCCGGGGGCAAATCCACAACGAGAGAGGGGCGCGGTAGCCAAGTGTGGCTTGTTTGCAGATGAAAAAACGCAATACGCGCCCAGAACGGCAGTCAGTAGCTCGGAGGGGGGCAGTGCAGCCCCACCCAGCAAAGTGGTGGGCACGAACGGCGCAGCTCTGCGTTCTGATCGCGCCGCCCGGCCCCTCCGGTGGCTTTATGTCCCCTCCGGTCCTTCAGACACCAGCTGAGAAGGCGGTGCCCTCGGCTTCCCCGCTCCCCCTAGGTTTCCAAGCCTCACACCAGCACGCGCTCGAAGCGACCGCGGCTGAGGGTCGGAAAGACTCACAGGTAGAGAAGCAGCCTGGGTTGCCACCGACTCACCAGCAGCCGCTGAGGACCCCAGCTGCGGTCCCAGGGGCTGGGCACCGACGCCTCTGGTGGACGCACGCAATCCCCGCTGGTGCCCGATGCTCCAGGCGCGGGGCCGGCTCTCAGTATTACTCGCTCGAGGCCGGCACGGAGACGCTCCCGACCGGCGGCCGGGCCTCCAGCTGCCAGAGTCCGGGCTCCGACGCCGCGCTGCCGGGCCACAGCAGAGAAAGAAGGTGCGAGCAGGACTGTGCGCGCGGCGGCCGGACGCGCGCCCTCAACCTGCGGAGGGCGGGGCGGCGCGGGGCGGGGCCGGCGGCGCGAGGGCGGGCCGGGCCGGGCCGGGGCGGGGTGGAGGGCGCGGGCGGCCCGCGGACCCGCTTGTCGCGGTACCTGTGCCTAGGGTTCGGATGGCTGGAGACCCGGCGCACGTGCGGGGGGTGGGGTCACCGGCGGCGGGGCCCGCGGTCCCTCCGAGAACAATGAATGCCCGGTGTTAATCTCTCCCCGCGCCACCCCCGGGATGTGGCTTTCCTCGGAGGAGAAGCGGTCTTCGGCTCCCTAGGCACAAAGAAAGATCGCGGGACGCTCGATTCAAAGAGGGATCCCCAACTGCTGCGGCCCGTCAGGTGCCCGAGGACAATAGGACTCCGCCCCTCCCCCCACACGCACTAAACCTCGGGTCCCCACCTCTCCCTGTCCCATCTAGCCAACCTAGCCGTGCCTGGCTCTGCGCGGCGGGCGACCCACGAGGCAGCGGGGCCACCTGACTACGGCTCCCCGAGCCACTTGCAGCCCCGGCTCGGGGGAGAAAGGGAGGGTCGCGCGGTCTGTCACTTTCAAGCTCGCTTCCCTCGCAGCTGTCGCCAAAACCTGGAGAGCGGATTTGGCGCAGTGGAGACGCCGGGGCTCCCGGTTGAGATAGTGGGCACGGCAAGAAACGCAGACGCAGCAGGTTTTTCCTGCGCAGAGGGAGGGTTTCCTCCCCCTCCGGGTCTTTCAAAGAGATTTACCTAAAGCTGCGGAAGCGGGGGGCGGCGGCCCCAGACGCACGGCGCGGCGCAAGTCGCGCAGCTGCCGGCCCGGAGCGTGAAATCCCGCCTGTGGCGACACCTGCGCCCGTCGGTCATTCCGGCCATGGCCGCAGTACGTCCCCGCCCCTCCGCCCGGGGGCCCGAGCATGAACCCGGCAAATTAATGTTAATTTTCTTAATCGGTTTCCGTCTTTCCCTCCTTGATCTGTCTGCCCGGGTAGGAGACAGGAAAGGGAGGCGTTTTCCGGCTGTGAGGTCGCAGCTCGCATGGTTGGCCTGAGACCCCTAGGAATAGCGCGCTCCGGGCCCGGCTCCAGCCCTGGGACCCTCAGGTTGCATGGTTGCATGGAAATCAGTGCACAAAGCAGAGACCCTCCAGGAGTTCTAGACTTTCCGGAGTGGTATCCGCTTTAGGTCATCTCGGCTATGCCCCTGGGTCTGTCTGAAACCCTAGAGGGTGCACTTTAAGTCAACGTTGTAAACCACGGCCCTTGTTAAGGTGAAATTGAAAAGGAAGCGGACACAACTGTTCTGGAAAGCAAAATACTTGGGTGGAGTGTTACAAGCCTCAAAGAAAATAATCGTTGGCTGGTCAAATAGCCATGAGGTCGGAAGTCAAATACAAAATGCTACTGAAGTGATGCTAGAAATTTGACAAGCCAAACAGTCCGTGAAGATAAGAGACCCGGCATTGTTTTTCTCTCTAAATGACAACTCCAAAGTATCCTTTGGCAGATACCTGGGTTCCACTCCAGATTCCTGAGAGTTTTACTTAGGGTTCATATTTCCAAATGTATGTTCCACTTGGCACTAATACATACTTATTTTATATATGAATTTATTGGAAACTATCAAATGTTACTGCCCTACTTAGATAAAGGTATTTTTAAAAAATATTTATGCATGGCTTTCATTACATATGGTAAAAGTATAAATATGTGTGTATATATATATATTTATAAAATATCACATAAAAAATTCTTTTTGCACACATAAAGACATTCCTTACACATATTTCTTATACGTATTTTAAAAAATTTTCTCTATTGTTAGCCGCTATTAAAAGCACTTTATTTCTACATGACTAAGTAAGTAAGTTCTTTCATAGTTTGTGCAAATACAGAGTGACAGGTTGCTGGAGGTAGCAATTTTATTACAAAACTCCATTTTCATTCTTCTAAGCTATTCCTCACCTTCTGTAGAGTTCCTTTCCCTTGCTGCATTTTTAAAATGAGACTTCTCCTCTGAGCTGTAAACAGTTTACTCAGAACATACCCCTTCAAAGGCCTCATGGTCCTGGTCTGATTTAGCCTGGCTTCTTTGATATCCCATGTTGTTTATTTGTACTGAACATCTTCAGAGAGGAAAAATGGCCTCATATAGTGAATTTTCCTTCCAAATGAGTGCATTTCCTATGCTAACTATGATGGCTTTTAGATCTAATGAGTTAGGTTTCAATATGTTTGTGAGTACTCCTAACTGAAGCAGAGAGGAGAGCTTTGCTTCAGGAAGATTTTAGGGATTTTTAGGTTCGGCTGTGAATTTAGGAAAGGTTAGAGTTTTGAAAATTTGGTGGTAACCTTAGAAGTCTAATTGAGACAAGTAGCTATATAACACGTGTCAGGTTTACAAGAGTGAGTATTTTTTATCAATCCCTTTGCATAGGAGAAGAGTCAAAGAGTGTTGCAGTGTCCTTGCTGTCCAGAGTCCAATCTACTCCAGGAGCAGAGAGTAACATGCCACTGTACACAAGCAAGTGCTGACTATCCTCTTGCCTCTTGTCACCAAGCCCGCCCCAGATCTCCTTTATTGGAATCTTTATTTAAATGACATGCAGATGGTTTGTGAGCACATTTTATGTTCAAGAAGCACTGCCTTCTCCACCTTTTGAGCCACAAATTCATTTTAAATTTGTACATGAACCCCCTTCTTGGGAAAGCATAGAGGATTATACACAAGGTCTCTCATATACTACTTTAGGGTGCCCCTGAAGAACAGTCTATTGATGGCAAGGAAGTCCTCAGACCTCCAGTCACAAAACCAGGAGAGACACTCAGCATCATTGGCCAGGGAGGATTCTTAGAGGAAGCAGAGTTTAAATTGAGCCTTAAGATATGGTGCAGTTGGATGGGGAGACAAGTAATGAAGGGCATTTCAGGCAGGTGGAATGCATAGGAAAACCAGGAAGGGAAATCATCTGGTATCTGTTTTTATATGTGTTAATACAAAGCCGAGTGAGGAGATGGTAGTTTTTTGCAGCAGGCTGTCCTTGCAATTCCTTAGTATCTCTTGAACCTCCAAAAAATGAAGCCAAAAGGTAGACCTGGGTTAAGTCCACTTGGGGCAGGTGGTAGGGGGGGCACAAGAACCCTGTGACATGGGCTTCATGTGAGACCTGTGTCTCATCACCTGCCCTTTCTCACTGAGCCTTAGCCATATCAGCCTTCAGACTGTTCCACAGCTCACTCCTGCAGTCTGGCACTCATCCGTCTGGGACACTTCTTCCCCAAGTCACCAAAGACTCTCTTCTCCATTCATTGAGGTCTTTATCTGATACTTCCCTTCCTGAAAATAGCAGCCCCACCCAAATTCCCTTTCCCTGAATATAGCAGGAAGATTAATTTCTTCATGACTTGACATGACATTGTATTTATTTACAGACTCACTTGTAACCTGTTTTCTGTAATGTATGGACTTTATGAGACCTTGTATCTCCTGTGCCTAAAACACATGGTACGTACTCAATACTTATTATTTACTTATATTTACTATATATTTATTTTATCCCTTAACTACAATCAGCAACAAGTATAAAAGCCATGTTTATAAACTCTATAGCTACAAAATAATATTGTATTAAACATTCCTGGGATATACTGCATGGATGCTGAGACTGAAATTTCAATCACTTCTCCTTAGTCTAACTGCACAAGAAATACAAAACACATGGAATATTTTATGTTCTAAAATTCAGACATTTTAAAGTAAGGCTTACCAAAAATGTCTTTATAGTCCATGTATAATGCATAACTATTTTTCTTCTGGCAAAGCTGAAACATACTCGTGTGTGTGCTCAGCTGGGGTTTTTCTTCAAAATGCCACATTCGGGCTGAACTCAAGCATATATGTTCTCGATTAGCCCCCTAAGTTAGGTTTAAGAAACAATGTAAAAGAAACTGGAAGGTTAAAACTTCTTTCTTTCATTTGTTGGTGCTGGGGATGGAACCCAGGGCCTTGAGTGTGCTAGGCACATGCTCTACCCTTGAGCCTCACCCCCAGCCTAGTTAAAACATTTTAGATATACTCTCCTTAGAGCTTGAATATCCTCTCTTTGCTACAATTAGAATTTCACCCATGGGAGAGATATGTTAGGCTGTGCTAATGAGTTTGTTTGACTAGTTGCCAAAAGCTAAGAAATTTTCTAACCAGTGATTTCCTTGTAAATAAAGAAGTTGAAGTCACTTCTTGGTGAGGAGTTTTTAGTTTCACCTAATCAAATGCAGCAGGAAATGACACATATGAGACTATGTTAGTATGCAGACTACAGGCCTAACATGTAGTTCTAAACTGGCCAGAGTCACTCACTGTAACCACCAAATCCCAGGATATTTTGGCATTTTATATTAGTTCTTGAATTCAGGCCAACACCAAATTAATTTGTGGAAAGACCTTCAAATATAGATGTATGTACAACTTGATGTTTATGTAGCCTTTTTTTAAAAAACCTTATTTTACATTTATCTCATGTCATCCTTACTTTCGGTCATTTTGTTCATGTTGGGTAGGCAAAATGTAGGCAAAGCAAATGTTGACACCTTTGCTTTGATGAATGAAGGACAGAAAAGTCACATTACCAAACTCAAAATGTATGTACATATCTATTTTTTCCTACCACATATGGACAGCCTTGTTCAACTGTGTCTCTGGGGATCTGGCACAGTTCCTGTTGCAAAGTCTATGCAACAAATGTATGTTGGATGAATGAATGATCAGGAACTGCCTAGGAGAAAGGATAGCGCCTAAAGCTGAGAAAAGAAACAGAGAAACAGAACAAAACACAGGATGATGTATGGATAAGGGATCAGTAAATATTTATATTCTCTGGCAAGTAGAAAGATTTGAAAAATGTTAAGTGGCAGTAAAAGTACAGGACAAATCCTCCACCCCCAAGGGGTCACAAGGTGCATGCAACAGGTGCATTGACATGCTTTGCAAAGCTTAAGTACAAAAGGA